CACTACTTCTATAACACCTTAATTACTTAAAACAACAATGAGACAATGCAATGGTCTACAATGAGTAGACAAACAGCCATTAAATGATATTAAGCTCTGTCTACACTGCCAAAGTTTACATGACAACCTTATGTGATGTGCCCATATGGGCATCATGATTTTATATTACACATATACGTATATCACAGTTGTGGCAAAGACAAGCCAAACCAGTCAATCGTTGCAGATCGTGTTTCAGAGAAAATGGACAAAACATGCTAAAATGTCAAATTTTTAAAAATCTATTTTATTACACTAAACTAACCTTTATATATCTACACACCATCCTATGCTGTTATTTTCCCCATTTTCCACATTAAAACAACACAATTTAAAGACTTAAAGATAGTTTCTGCATGGGAAATGCCTTAAATCACAAACTTTAAAGGCAGATTTCTCATATATTGTTCTTCAAACAGCTGTGTGGTTAAAAGCTTGTAACTTTATAATGAAATGTCCGATTTGAATGATTTTTTTTACCATTTTATAGCTATTATTTTACTCTCTAACACTGTATTAATAACACAAAATCGATTTTTGCGACGAGTGACTGGTTTGGCTTGTATTTGCCACATTTGTTTGTTACATACAATTTGATAGTGTGCACAGGGCCTTAGACATCAATTTGTTACAGCACATTATCCTGCAATACTTGGAATTCAGAGACTTTAATTTATCCATTTTTTTCCTTTCCTAACTTTTGTACACGATGAAACTATGTGGTGATCTTTAAACTAAATACAGTTTGTGCTGGCGTATCACAGGATTTGACCCCAGAATCATGTGATTGGAAGGCAAACCAAAATATACCTACAGCCCCACTTCTAAATTAATGTTGCATTCTTGTATCACCTTAGGTTTCTTTGTGATGATTTCACTTGCCATCTGGTGGCTTGGGAGGTGCGTCTTGATAAGCCTAGGCGATGGCTTGCTTGCAGCCTTCACATGTGGACACACGTGACCCGGGTGTACAATATCCAAGAAAGAATATCGGTGCCTGATATCTATTTCATCTGCTTTTTGAAAATCGCAACCATTCAAGAGAACAGAGACTATTTCCTGCATCCATGTGGTCCCTAATAAAGAAGTTACATTGACGGATTAAATATTGGATTCAGTTTAAAAGTTATGCCTAAATAAAAAAAAAAGAAATGAAAAGCATCTTGCATGTTCTTTGCAACATTTTTTTATTTCACAAATTTGAGTGTTGCTTATTATTATCCACTGTTATGTCAATTATTATATTGTATAGATACACTTATGATGATGATGTATTTGATGCTCATAAATGTTTGAATTTTTAATTAATATTATTAAAAATATAAATAAATGACTGCTTAACAATAAGATAAAATAAGATAAGATAAGATTTTCTTTATTGTCACGTTTACAATGAAGTATACATGAAATTTTTCCTGTTGACACTTGAAATCTTAACTACTAGATAAAAACATACATAAGGAAAAATTTAAAAAAATAAATAAATAAATAAATAAATAAATTACGTTATCACAAAACCATTTTACATATATACAGGTCGTTCAAGCAAATAAATATGGATTATCTTTTAAATTTTGAGTTGTGTAAGTGGATGGAATTATGCACAAATGATTTTCTGCATCTATTTGTTTTACATTTCATATGAAGTAGTCGGCCAGATCTACATATAATGAGTTCCTTATGTAGCGGATGGAAGTTGTCTTCTAGAATTTTCAATATAAAGAAGAGAAGGAAAGTGATATTCAAAATAAAAAAGGGTCACAAACAAAAATTTTGTTGCATTCCCTAATAAATTGGGATTTCTCTAATAAAATGGAATTTACTATCTTGATAAAAATTTTATAGTCAATAAATTGATCAAACAACTTTGCGACATACCAGCTTTTGGATATGTGATTACCCAAATATCATCTTGGCGAACTTCAAATGTTTTCATTGCCTCTAGAATTTCATCTGTAGTTACTGAAGGGTGACGTACACCGCCAACAACACGATCGATTTCCATAGTTCCCTGCTTTCACTGCTTAAATACTGAAATATAAGTTACAACATCATGGTATTGAATAATTAGCCAATAAAATGTAGGCCTGCAACATACCTAAGAGTCACGTGAATAAGCGCCCGGCGCTTAAAATATTTTTTGCACTTTTTGAGAAGCGCTTATTCAAATGGGGCGCTTATGAAAACAGAGTGGAAATTGAGGGGGCACTTATGGAAATATATGAATACTGGGAGTTTTTATGAGCTTTGAAAATTCAGGGGCACTTTTTGAATGAAAAAAAATTGTATATAAGGACATCTGGAAACCGAAGATCACAAATGGTTTTAGTGCACAAAAGAAATCATCCAGAGGTCATGGCTCCTGAGAAGAAAGCCAGTTTCAACAGTAGATATGAAATTGTGGTGGTGGTGTATATGCTAGCTTGTTAACCAACAAGAGATAATTAGCAGGATCATTGCAGGGCTTAATTCTTGCAAAATTAAAACGCGCTAAAATTTGCAAATTGTCTGGAAAAGGAAAAGAAAAAGAAAAGTTGGAAAGATACTGTCTCATCTGACCAGGAGAAAATATCCTCATTTTGAAGTTGACTTAATAAGAAGAATAATGTGTGAATTCACTCCACAGATCAAATCATGCCAACCAGAGTCCCGGGATTGTTATTGGCTTGCTAATAAAAAAAAATCACATGAGAATTGTTTCAAAAAAATCAATATACATCAAGGGGGCACTTATTCAAACAGGGCGCTTAAGAAAATTTTCACACTTATTCGAGAGGGGGGCTTATAAACGGGGGGATATCTAGCTATCCTAGGCCTATATAAGGGCGGCCAGCTGAACCTAAAAAAGGTCTAGCCTAGGGCTAGGCCCGGACTAGGGAGTCTGCAACAATGCCACGAAGCGACGGAATTGCAGGCGGCCCTCTTCCAGCCATTCTCTCTGCCTTCTTACCTTACAAAATGTTAATGATTTGAATTGAATCGCATAAACGTGGCTGTTGTACATGTGCAGCGTGACACTTGCAATTTTTGATACCCCTAGGTCGAAATATTACCCAAGATTCAGCAAAAATTGCCCAAAATTACCCAAGCTTCCTCAAAATGCATTAACATTTGAAAAATACGTGTTTTTCGCATGTATAGTTTCCCTTTTAGTATATATATAGTTCAATATATAAACCATTTTTCATTGTAATTGCTTGTGTTAATTATTAAAATTAATATTCATGAGGTAATAAATACGGATATAAAAATATGCCATATCAGTCGGCCAGTGTTATCAGTGTAGCTCAGTGATTAAGTTTTATTATGTAATGCATTAGTTTAAAGGTAATGATCAATGGCAACGCAAATCACAAATAACCAATTCTGAACCCATGTTATAGCAATTAACAGTCAATTAACAATGTTATGTGGACTTCGTTGAGTTTTGCTTACTTGAATGGACTGAAATATACTCAGTTAATACTGGAATAGACACCCAGAGGTGACGGAACTAGGGGGGTGCTGTGTTATGGAGAGTAATGTGTGACCGGAAATGGTCTGCAGTCAGTTGGTTGTTACCATGCGCCAGTGATGTTGGAGTGATAATACAGCAATATGAAACTATTAGGCCTAATGAATGAATAAAGTTCAGAGTTTGTCGGGTAGTGAAATGATTATTTCACATTTTAAGTGCTCCCTAAATTCATAGTGTAAGCTAAATTACGGTGATTAATTCAATTAGCGAAGATATGGAGACAATTATTTCGAATCCCTCTTTCCAAGAGGGGAAGCAAATGCTCTGTGAAAATTAATACGCCGCGGTACTCATTTTCACAAAGAAATACACACAACTGGTTAGCTAACAATTATGTCAATGTTACATGAACACCTGGGAAGGAAGGTGCAATCACGTTGTTACCTAGTGTTTCGTGTGGGAACGAAATGAGCACCCTCTCTTGTTAGCTGTCTCACATTTTTGTGGTTTTCTTTTCGCGCTCCAATAAGGCACAGCAAATTATTTTTCGTAGAGAGAGAAGCGTTCGAGAATTCTGTAGTGTAATTTAGTTATTTGAGAAAGTTAACACGGTTGTTCTATGAGTATTGAGCAGTTCAACCGTAAGTTAAACATCATTGTATTAAACTTTATTGTAAAACGGATCATAATTTATCGTAAAACATCGGTAATTAATGATTAAATAAGATCGTGAAACTGAGATTGATATAGTCGCTATTGTTACCGAAGTTATATTAGGAATTACGAATTAACCATCATTAGAATTATAGTTATGCTTAGAATTGTAGCATCGTATTAGGTATATGATGAATCATCATGCAAGTGAAGCGTGTTTTGATTGTACATGGACAGAAACGTTAATGATTATTAGAACTATTTGTTTGATTGCGTATTAATTTACTTTAATTTGTGGTACAGTATTTTAAGAGTCTAATGCATTTTATATATGCGGAGTGATATTTGCAGTGTTATGAGGCTTATTTGGGACTCTCATTTTAAGTTAGTGTAAGTTACAGTATATTATAATCAAGTTGATCCCTGAAAGTGTTTTATCTCTAGTGGTTAGAACTTTTGACCAGAGTAACCATGGTTATACCAAGTAATACAATAGAGCGGCTGTATTGCTATGATTTGAGGATCTCATTATTTAGGTTTTCTTCATGAAGGTCTACGAGAGGAATACAGTAAAAATATGTTTAAATTACTTTAGGTATTTTTCTTTGAGTTTCATCGATACATATGGCATAATTCAAATAAATATTATCATTATTATTACTTGTTAATATAAGAGAAACACTGCTGATAGGTTCGAACGACTTGTTGGAACACAATAAACTTTCAGATCAAACATAACAGCTTTTGAGTTTTTGTCAGCTTGAATACCGAAACACCTAGCAAACGTCTGTACTGTATGGGGGAGGGGCTGCTGATGTACGTGTAGCGGGGGACGATGAGGCATAAGACTAGGCCTAACTAAGACAGTGGAATTATATGTGATAGAGAGTACACTTTCGGAAGAAATGAATTAAAATAAGAAAAAAAAAATAACTAAGAATAATTCATTTGCAGAGGTACCTTGTTTAAGTATTATACAATGCTAACAATGCGGCTCTTGTAGTCCTGGCTTGGGCAAGGCATCCATATTGTGCAAAGCAGTTGCGTTTGTTTTTGGTTTATCCATGAAAAAAGCACGCCACCGGGAAAGTTTGCCTTACCAGCAAAGATCGTAAAGACACAAGATAGCGTTTACGCGTAACAAATAGAAGCGTCGGTCAAGGTTCAAAAGTTTCCAATTTAGCAAGAGGGCGCCATTCATGCGCTATTATACCAAAGAGAAAAACATAGAGCTATTAAACATTCTTATTATATCTCTATGGAGAAAAAGTAATCAACTTTGGAAGAGGGCGTCCTATCTGTTGCCATGGATCTGAGATGGTTCCTGTTCTGCTGTTCACAGGATTGATACCCTAATGGTAAAGTCGAGCGGTCAAGGGTCAAAAGTTTCCAATTTAGCAAGAGGGCGCCATTCATGCCTTATTACAGAATTTGCACGCGTAAATCGCGGAGAACGCTATCTTGTGTTTATAAGATCTCTGCTTACCAGGAAAAGGTGACGTATCTAGCTTATGACGTATGCATGCTAACTAATGTGAGTGTGACGTCACCAAAAAATGAATATTTTCTATTATAACCAAAATATTAATAACTACAAAGTTTATGGGCGTAAATTCCCTTAATACGAATGAAGGGTTGCACAATCTCCTTGCCATACAAATTACAGCTCCCACTGACGTCTCAGTCGATAAATACGGGTAACTGAAGTTTTTCTCGCAAATCTGACTACAAAACCATATCCAAATTTCACGTTCCACTTATGAGCCTGAGTTGTGCTTCGCACTCGCCGCTGAGGGCGGCGTTCCGGGACCCTGCGTCCAGACAGACATCGGTGAATACCATAGAGCTATTAAACATTCTTATCATACCTCTATGGTGAATACATAACCTTTTTGGTGGCGGTAGAAATCGTTGCTATTATCACTATTATCAAAGAGTATAAATATTTATACTCTTTGATATGGCTCTGATTATTCACCCCGCTCGACGCCCCCCTGCATATTGTATTGTATGCCTACTCAAACAAAATCGTCTTTCTGCTTGGCTTCATTGACATGTTTTTTGAAATTGCACTGATTTTTTTAATGCTGTTAATAACAGTGTATTTCTACACAGCATTATTTAGACGAGGCTACGTTGATGCTGCAGGGAAAGCTGTTTTAATCACAGGCTGTGACACGGGTTTCGGTAACCAACTGGCAAAGGCTCTTGATGGCATCGGCTACCAAGTGTATGCAGGTAACTGGGGCGGCTAACACTTTCGCAAAAAGCCCCTCAAAAAAAAAAAAAATGCACAGCTCGTCGTGCTAGCAAGCGCGGGAACGCTGTATAAACCTCTATAAATTTATAAAGGTATCTTTTATAATTATGTGTTGTGACTGTGAGAAGAACATTGAAGTAACAAAATTCAGAATTAAAAGTTAGGTGCGAAAGTGCATTACTAATTAGCGCGATAATTACATCTCGCATGATCTCAGACTTGATTTTTTAACCACACAGAGAATTAGTTTAAACGAATTCCTCCATGGTATAACTGCGCACGCACCTCCACAAATATGGAACGCCAATAGGACAAATTAAAAGTGGCGCAGTGCAATAGTCAAATGGCGCGCAATGCTATGGAAGCCTGTTTTAGTTCTACCAGTACCAGTGAATTTCGGAGGTCCTTAAGTTAAGTGGCGGCCGCCGGATAATTATGCGGCTGTGCCACTTAATTATCTGGCGGCCGTGCCACTTAATTATCTGGCGGCCGTGCCACTTTAATTATCTGGCGGCCGTAACACTTAATTATCTGGCGGCTGCCACATAATCATGTGTCAGTCATATAGCCATTTCACAAAATATATCAATATCTTTGCTGTAGCACATCAACTGTTTTGTATGTTCTGTATTTGCTGTTTAATCATAGAGTACAACAGTTGTGTCATCTCAACACCAGGTGGCGCCCTTTGAATTGTTAACCAGACGTTGGTTACCATTCATTACGCCTGGATGACTTCATAATCTTAATGGTTTAGAATAGGCTTTTTGGAATAGGCATTCTAAAACTTAAAGCCCCATTCCCGGCAAAATTTCACTAAAAATTGACTTTTTTTTTAGAAAATATGCATTTGCATTACTCCAATTATTATAAATCATGGAAAAATATTGGCATGAATTTTAGTTTTACGCAAAAGAGATGAGAAATACAGACTATTTCTCATAAAATATTACCATTTTCTCGACGAATTCATCGTTACTAGGCAAATTCAGAGGTTGTAGATCGCATCCACTAGAATACTCTCGCTTTTATGTATACTTTATACAGTCAATAAAGTGCGCCCTCTCTAGTGAGATTATTTTTTGTAGTTCGCATCTCGCACAATGCGTTCGTTCGGTTAGGTTAAGATATGTTTGTTTAAGTGTCAAAATCTCAGTCAGAATCAGTTTTTTAACAAATTTGAAATAATTCCTATGAAATATTATATTACACAAGTGTCATTACTAGCAACGGAAAATATCATGTCGGCCGTTTTTATGTGTGATAACAGAACCTAAAATCAAGGTAAGGCTAGGCCTAGCCAGCAGCGTTGGATAGGCTAATGTTTTCGGCGCCTACGATATTTCTTCTATGCAATTCCGTATTATATTTATAAATCATTATAACATTATACAAAAATTAGATTTTTCTTAAAAACTGAAAAT